GCATTTTTAGTTACCAATTATGCAAATTAAATTCCTCAAATTCATAAAACCAACCTTTTCTTCCCTATTTCTTTTGATAAATGTAAATTTTGAAGTTGAATGCAATAATATGACTCATTCAAATTTACATACAAAGTCACAATCTTAGTTAACACAATTAAAAAGATAATACATTTTACAAAAGCATTTACAGAACTCTGATTCAGAAAAGAAAATTCGCAGAAATAAAAATATCCTCAAACATATTAACAGTAGCACTTGAGAAACACACCATGGAAATTCTTGAGATTTAAAGAAAAACCTACAGTCCCAATTCTTGAGATACGTACTTTAAAAAAATTCGGAATTCAAATAATAAATTATGTTCTGAAGACCTTACAATTTTCCAAATCTGAAAGGTTTTTTCCAGCATAGGCAAGTAAACTACAGCCTCTTCATATGGGAATTATTTTAACAACCTAAAATATCAAAATATTGAAAATTTGGAAATGAAACCTCAAATTATGACATTTAACATTGTAAGGTATTTGTTTAAAATCAACTAGTAATTTTACATTCAGAAGCTTTACTGTCACTTCTCCCTTTCTGTTTAAGTGCCAGAATGCAAACTTTAGCTCGCGTGTATTTAAGTGAGGGTCTGAGATAGTTTTCGTCAGAGCGTGTTCTTCCAGCTGAAGGCCAAATTATTAGTTGATATTTTACGATAGAATTACTGTCTATGGTGTTGCTATTGATGTAGGTTTGAGGCAAAGTGCATGTTGAATATTTCTGCATAGCCCTTAGCTAACTTAAGACTTCCATTTAATTTAAATTTGAATTCCTTATTTTCGAATTTATGCCATAAATGCTGGCTGGTTTTGTAAGTTCCAGGTGTGCCTTTTGTTTAGCTATTTTAGTTCTTAATAAAAGGGCTCTTTTACACCCTCCTTACATTTCTGTTTGTATTCTAGACATAAGTCGCTCAGTTCTACTTAGTCTTGAAGTTAGTGTATGTTATTTAAAAAATGAGACTCTACAACCTCAGTCTTTTTAAAGAGATGAAATTCTGAATGAGATTTATTAAACTGAATTAAATCAAACAGATGGTAACTTTTTTAAACGAGAAACAATGAAATACAATGAAATAAACAGAATTAATAAAACCAAAATTTATGAAACACAGAACTATATCACTAAAACTTTTCTAGCATTCTGTAAAATCTAAAGAAAGTAGAAAAATTATTCTTTCAAGAGTACTGCAAAACATAACAAACATGGGAAATGTTACAATAAACCGGTAACGTAATTAATTTAGAAGTCAAACAACAAAAATCAGCGTTATATTTTCAAATTTTCACAGGACTAGTTTTGTTGGTTTTACCGAACCATAATCCTCAGCTGTAAAAGTGCAAATGGATAAGATATAATGAATAGATAAGATAACATGGACAGGAGTCAAGCTACTGACGCCATCTGTTGATGAAACCAGAACTAAAGCATAGTTTCTTTAAAGGCTGACAGCAAAGATGGATTGGAATTAGGGTCGTTAACTAGAACAGAAAGATTTTTTGAATGTGAAATGCCTCTAGAAAATTTGCTGTTTGACTTCTAAATTAATATTTGTTTGGTGTGTTATTGTATCTTAGGTTATGTAATATTAAGGAAATCTGAATACAGTTAAAGCCTGACTATCTGGCATTCAACTTACCAAAAATCTCAAATAACTGAAATATCTTTGCATTTTTTAATGAAAAATTAAAATAACAGATTTTTAAGTCTGCAATAAATAAGACTATTACTTGAATCAAACAAAAAATGTTTCCTTACAATGCAATTTAGCATCAATGGATAAGCGTGATGTCACAACCTAATTTGGCTTTATGTAAACCCAGTTAAATCTGGATAATTGGTTTAAGATTTGGTAACCCTTTGACGCACGGTGGTCGCACCCTGAAACCACCATTTTCCGAATTTTTTTCCTCCTTTTTTTTTCCAAAATTTTTGAGTGAAAATGTATTGATCTTTTACATCTAAATAACACAAAATGACTGTAGAATCATATATGTTTTAGGTATTAATACTTCAGATCGGATACCTTTTAAAATTCGTTTTCGATGAGAGAAAACTTTTTTTATTAATATAAAGAACTTTAAATTTCAAAAGTTAGTCATCACACATCATGAGTTCTATCATAAACAATAAAAAATTGCAGTAATTAAACTGCATATATAAAAATGGCTCAATTCTCAATGGCATTCGCCTGCTTTTCAAATAGGAATGTTTATTTTTACCCGGATATAGATAAAGGGCTTTGAAATCACAGAGTTATTTTATTACTAAACAATATATGCACTTGCCCAGTAAACAGGTCTTTCTTTTCCAAATATTTTTCTCTGACATCAACACACTTGCTCCCCAAGCTAGTATTGTGATTTTATAAATTACTTCCTGTGTTTAAATTTAATGTAAATATACTTTGCTATAATTAAAAATAGAAATTGCGTAAAAGTTTTATTTAAACTAAAAATATTTTCTGAATATTTTGGGATGAAATACAAATAAAATAAGTATGAATGAGAAACGAACGATCCGTACAAAGCCAAAAAGAAAAAGTCCCCGCCCCCCATTAACATAAAAAACCACAAATTTCATGTGCCAGATGAAAAGAAACTAAATAACGCTGGACATATAATAGTGAATTTTAAATCCAGGCAGTGTACATTTGGTAGCACAAGGAAGAAACCTCATAGAATAAGATGTATGTGCGAAACATGCAATGTGGGTTCATGCATGTACTAAAGAGACAAAACATGCTTTGAACAGTGTCACAAAAAAAAAAAATTTGTTCTTTGAAATTTAAAAAAAAAAAAAAAAAAAAAAAAAAAAAAAAAAAAAAAAAAAACAGAGTTCTTTTTTATCCTTATTTTATCGAGTTTTTTAATCCATTTATCCAAATGTCCTTATTATGTAGGTACTTATATTTTCACTGCTATAGAAAAATTGCATAAATGTTTATTTTTTTATTTCTTCTGACAATTTACTTTGTAAAATAATGTAAAAAATTATATATAATGCAATCCTTACATACATTTTTTTTTTTTAAATCCGTAAATTTCGTCATTTATTGGAAACGCGCGCAGAAAATGGTAAGTTTTTTTTTTTTCCTACTACATCAGTAAGTTTTAAAGTCCTAGATGCGCGGTGGTTTCACAGTGTGACCACCACCCACAGAACAATTGGCAAACATAGATTTTTTTAAATTCATATATTATTTGTCTCTAGGATCATAATATTCAATTTCTAGAGTTTTAGTTAAAAAATTATAAAAATAATATCACGCGCATCAAAGGGTTAAAGGGAAAAAACAATATACTTATATGAAAATGGGTAAACACATTCTGTGTGATGTGAAAAATTATGACAAGCAATTTCAGTTTTAAACATCTCATGTTTCATAACTAGTATATGTTGATTACCTAACTAAATAAAGTACAAACTTCTGTCAGAATGATTAGCGAAAGTTTGGCAATATGTTTACGAATTTTCATGGCTGATAGAAATTCGTAATTGAATATGATGCTTCACTGCAGCATTTACATGTGAGATGCCTTTTTATCTCTTGAAATCCCATATAACATTTTTGCTTATCTGGAATTTGGCAAATCCTGAGCTTTTACTGCACCATTATTCCATTTGCTTCATCCCATGCCACTTAGACAGAAAATTCTGAATATAGTGTCATGGAAATCGATAGAACCAAAGTCTTACTTCAAATTCAGAAATGCAGAAAAATGCACTGTTTTGCGTAAAGGCTACGTCAGTACAGAATAAGATAAACTTTATTTCTGGAACTTTTGTGCCTAAGGTTCCATTTAGCATAGACATCAATAGAATATTTGTGTGTACTGAAAGGGAACTTATATAAAAACTATTAGTAATGACAAATAATAATGAACAATTTTATGGCAGTCACCTACTTAAAAATGCCACCACTACATATAACTAATACTTCTTAAAACATAAGCAAACACCAATATTTATCTTGTTCTCTTAGATAACTACTCCCTAATCTGACTAAGACCACAGAATATGTATTCATTAATAAAGGCAATCAACAAAATGTCTAATTTTGTTATCAAACTGAAATATGTGTTCTAAATAAATCGTTATATTTTTTATTCATATTTAAAAAAAGAAACCTATTTTTATGGAAAATATATTTTATAATTTCTCAATCGGTGATTACATGATTCTTGATTGGCAAAATGAATGACTCAGGCTTGACTAGACATTTATGATATAGCACTTTTCAAATAGCTCATTATATTACTAAATTATTTGTATTGAAATTGTATTTCCATTTCCTGTCTCCATAATACATAATAAATACAGAAACGAATTATAATTAAAGTCTTCTCATTTCCTATCTCCATAACATAATAGTTAATACAGAAATATCCCACAGGAACTAGAATAATTCATTTTTTGTTTCACATTTCAGTTTTTGATGCTAATGGAATCACTCACATTTATTTCAAACTTGACAAACATCTCAATACATATATGTGAATGTTTTTTTTAATTTTAATTTACCTAAATTGTTTGTTCTTAGATTAAGAAGTCTGCAAATTAAAAAGGAAATGTAATAAACTTAGAAACATTATTAAAGGCTACTGAAAATACTGCAGGCAGTGTCACAAAGGAAGTTTGCAGAAAATGCAATAAATACAATATTAATGCTCAGATTATTTCAGAAAAGAAGGTGACTAATCATAACAGCTAGATGATGATTTAATTAGTAGTCAATAGATTTCACTAGACGAATATTTTAAGTACCCAATGTTTTTTAATATAATATACTAAAATATACTGAATAAAAATTTAGTATATTATATTTAAAAATTTAGTATGAAGTATATTTTAAGGAACTTTATAAATATCTCTTTCCTTATCTTGTATTATTACTGTATACATAAATATTATTTACTGTAAGCATTCCAGAAAATTAAGTAGAAGACTAATTTTTTCTTTGATATTTTATTACATTCATTATTTTCTACTTATTTTTAACTGATTGTTACTTTTATTAATTTTGCATTATTAATAAGACAATCTATCAGATTTGCATTTCTTTAACAGACATGAACTCAGCAAATGCATCATGCAAATTAATAACTGTCATCAATCGTAATCAGCATTTATCACATCAACACCTTCACAGAAGGTTAAAATTGCCTGAAATTCTGGGTAGTCACCTTGCACAGGATTGACCATCTTATCATTCTTTAAAGGTAATTTAAATATTAAGCAAGAAAATCAGCTATAACAAGACTCAATATTCATCATCCTCGTGACTTTTGTCTTCGTTTTGCTTTATTAAAACGTCTTTTTTCGATTGATTTTTTTAACAGTCTCAAGAATTTCCAGTATGGAATCTAAAGAACTGTATTAATTACCAATTCAAAAGTTAACAAGAAAACAAAAAGTCTGAGAAGTCACAGACACTGAAAACAGATATTTAAGAGCTTGAAACATAACAAAAGTAAGGCTTGAAACATAACATAAGTAAGGCAAAAAACATACAAAAATTAGTTGGTGTGATTAATATGATAAATCAACAGAGTTATACACAAAAAAGTATCTAAAAAATTGCAGAATACAAGAATTCTCACATTCCAAAAAATTTTCATACATGCATATAAACTTCCATTACAATTCAACAGGAATAATGAAGACATTATATATTAGTTTTGTTTAGGAAACAGAAAACCACAGTCCTTAATACAAATGTAATTTAATCTTAGTGGTGAAGTTTAAATTCAACATTCATTACATTATATCTTATGTTTTCTTTACAGTATATTGCATCAAGCAGGGAAAATGTACTGATATCCCTTACTAAATATTATAATTTTTGCCGCTAAAATGGCTGAGGATTAAAAAAGTTATGCTGAAACATATTCATTCACAGTTTTTTCACGGATCCATTATTTTGTCGAACATATATTTATGACGAGGCACTTGTCCTTTGATTTAGCACACAAAAGCCCACTCAAAAAAATAAACCTTAATTGCACTGAATATCACTTCATTCCTTTTAGGAAAAGATTTCGCACCGAAATAAAAATAAGTCAAGAATTCGATTACATCACATCTTACTTTGAAAATATTCCTTCATAATTCACATATTAATACTTCGAGATAGCAAGGCATAATATATGCTCAGATTCTGTTTTAAGGGGATTTCTCAGATATTAGAGATGATTTTACAAACATTCTTTTTCAGTTTAATCACTCTCCTCATTTAATTTCATGTCAATTTGATTTCATTTTCTCATTAAATTCTTGATTTATTATTATGATTTACACACACAAAATATTGAAAAGTTTCATATAATAAACTCTGTAATACAGTCAAATTATTGATAGTTTACAGTTTATTATATGGAGATATTAGCTCTTGGTGTATGCTGATAATATAAATTAACAATCTTTAGAAAGTTTATACTCTCTTCACAATTTAGATAATAATAGAGGGTCATGCATAATAGATTCTGAAAACATAAAAATGACTAGTTCACCCAATATCAACACTAAATATAAATTTCACAAAAAAAACAATAATTAGCTCATTAACCAAAAGTACAAAAAGCTATTACACAACTTACTTTTTCTTAAAAACTAAAAATAAATAAAACTAGACATCTACATAATATTTCTTTCAATTTAAAAAGTCCGTCCTAAAAAACAGATATTCAAATAATAAAATTTAAAAATGTCATAATATTCCTAATGCAGTTTTTTCACATAATACTGATATCAGTCAAAGAATATTTTACTACTAGACTAGAGAAAAAGCAACTGACTTCAATTCATTGGAGCAAAAGAAAACTTAAACAGCAATTATTATATTATTATGATGCCACTATAATTTTCAGTTTGGGGAGTGAAAAATCAAAACCATTCTTTATTTCTCAGTTATGTTAAGTGTCAGTTGTCAATAAATTTACATGAATTTCATACAACTCGTATCTGCAATACCTAATATGAAATAAATTGGATTGTTTTTATAATATTGTTGAATCTATTATTGGAATTGAAAACAAAAGGCACAGAAATATTGATGTGTATAATTGTCAGCATTCATGCAATTTCACACTATGTTTTCATTTACTCTAAGTAGAGTTTTTTACATATTTCCAAGCAGAAAAAGTTAGTCTTCATATCAAAAGACGTAATCTGTACAAACAACCTCTTTATATGGGCACATTTGCATACAAATGTAGTTCAATATTTTGTAAACTAAGTTCATGCAATAATTCAGAAGCAAAAATAATTCTTTTCCTTAAATATGCAATTTAAAAATATCTTAAGAAAAATTTAAAAGAACGAACACCTAAAAATATGACTTACAAATATCTGCAATAATGGGCAAAAGATAAAACATACATTGCATTACATAACTTAACTGAACAAACTAACATATACCTGAGTTTTTCAGGAAAAGAGCAATTAGAAAGCATGGTACAATAAAAAAATGTTTTGAACTCTCTGGACATCACAAAAGAATATTAACAAAAATGAGTTTAAAATAAATATATCACAGTTCATGTATGACAGGTATTTTTCAAGTCACTATTTTGGTACCAGTCCACGAGGTACAGGATATTGTTCAATCTCCAACTTCATTTTCATCTGTTGCTTGTTTGAATGGGCTGATGTCTTTGTACTATTAAAAAAAATGTAAAAAACTTTCAAAATTTAATTTCTTTCATAACATACAAAACATTCATTTTTAAATATTTACACAGGTAATAATTGAAGATTTTTGATTAAATTAAATAAATCCTCGGTTTGTTTGAATGGTAAGGAGATTAAATACCACCAAAACTCAGAATTTTATAAAATTCAAAACAGCACTTTTGTACATTAAAATAAATACGATTAATTGTATCTGTAGTTAAATTTTAATTAATCAAAAGTATCAAGAAGAATTTTATATATGCACTTATTTCTTTAAAAATAAACACTTCTTGAAACATACAAACTCAATAAATGAATAGGACAAAGTTGAAATCATCAACAAAACCTGGCATAAAAGCAGACTTCAAATTGGAGAAATGCTAAAAAATCACCACTCGAGTGTGTTGCAACAGACCTTCCTATCAGCTTATCAAATATGTAAACATTCATAAGAATGACAACCCTAGAGAAAGCAATAAAAGAGGGAGAACTTGTTCAAGCCATTTATTCCAGCTCCACCTGACAAAGCAGGCAAGCTGTCTGTGAAAGCTCCTATTGTACTTATATTTAAACACGATTCTAGAATACTAACTTAAAACATTTTGATTCACTTTTAACTTTATCTTAAAATGTTTTAACCATAAGCAACTTCTAATTAATAAAGATTGGTATAATTGGTAATCAGCATTAATAAATTACAAATTTGTTACGATACTCAGTTAACAGCAGAACACAGTTCTTAAGGGGAATAAACCTTTCACAGTTTAATGAATGATCTATAAAAATTATGAATAATGTTTTTATAATCTTGAAAGAATACGGCTGCTCATGCTACGTACAAGAATTCTTTCAATTTTTTTTCAATTTTCAATTCAAAAGTTCCTGGACTGAGCCTATAATGTAAAAGATATTATGAATTAAATTGCAGAAACACATCCTCCTTCAAAATAAGACCCTTGTGCAACAACACACTTTTGCCCAAGGAGGTTAGAATAGAAGGAGGGAGGGTTCGCAGTTTCCTCCAAGTATCGGGGAATGAAACTCTACGGAACAAGCGGCTTCCATGTTTGTTACTTCAAAACATTGCAATACGGTAGTGAAACCTACGTGTTTGTAAGTTGTTCTATGCATGAATTTTTCAGTAAAAATATGTTACATTTAGAATGAAATGCTTCGTTATTGTTAGTTTTTTGTTTTAAAGTTATAAAGATGATATCTGTAATTTACTAAGTACAGAAAATCATTAAGAAATATTTCGAAATCTAAATGCATGTGCATAACATTAAAGCCTTTAAAAATTATGTTTCTGCATAATTTCAAGAATTTTTTTTAGGTTTTATTAGCAACTTCTCGGGTATACTTTCAAATTTTTCTTTAAGAAGTGATATTTCTGATTTATTCGCAATATTATTATAATTTATTAAAGAATCATTTTTACCTGAAATTAATAGCAGATAATTACCTAAAAAAATGGTAACATGTTGCTTTTTTTTTTTTTTTTTTAAATGAAAGTTTTAAATAGATTCTTTTCACAACCAACAACCTTATATCAACAAGAAAATAAACATTAATAAAATAAAACAGATTTATGTGAATTCAATGATTTCAGTTTATGCGCATTTCATATTTATGAACCTCAAAGAAATTACCTTGAATTAAGCTGAATTACAGAAATATACCTATATAAATTTTTGGATATATCTTTTCCACATGTTCAGTTGTGTAACTATTTTACTTATGTTTATCGCTATACTTCCCAGAAATTTGTAAGCTTATGCAAAAACATTTTAACAGAACAGTTTATCTTGATCAAATGCAAAAATTATATTCGTAGCAGTTCACAAAACTTAAGAATGAATAATAATTAATACATAAAGAAAAGCGTTGCTTTATTTAACACCTTTACAATTCATAAAAATAGTAACAATTGATTTCTTACTTTTCATGAAAATTATAAAACGAATTATCTAAGCGTTCAAATTATACAGTTTAAATCCTAGCATATATCATTGTATGTTAAGGAACGAAGATACCAGCTGTAAGCAAAAACATTAAAATGTATTTAACATGTTTCGAAGTCTTTTTTTGTCATATCTGGAAAGAAAACAACATGTCATTGTGACATTTTTTTAACATATTTATGAAATTACATAAAAAAAAAAGAAAATCGATACTTACGAGTGAACAGTAATCTCAGGAATATTTTTCAAAAATCTATTTGTGCCTCCATATGCAATATAAGCTGATATGTTTCAAAAAGAAAAGGAAAAAAAAAAGTTACAATTACAGACTTCCTTGCACAAGTCACAGCGATAACAGTAACATGGCCGCCAAGCTTCACCGTTTGAGTTGAACCTTCCCTCCTTCTATTCTAACCTCCTTGCTTTTGCCAGTGCCTGTAAAGTTCATCGAAGCATGTCTGGAATCCATTTTTGGCCATGTCCTTCAATTCAACCTGTGATGCACATTTAACTTCAGCTGAAGATTGATTTCGACAACCCTGCAAGCATCTTGCCAGTTCAGGAAATAGGAAGAAATCACAGAGTGCGAGGTCAGGTGAGTAAGGAAGATGAGGCAAAACAGTTGTTTTCATTTTTGCAAGAAAGCCATTGACGAGTAGGGACGGTGAGTAGGAGCGTTGTCATGCAACAGCACCCATGACTGCTCAACCCACATTTTTGGTCTCTTCTTCAGGATTGACTCATGCAGACACAGGGTTTTGATGTAGAGTTCTTTGTTCACAGTGCATTCACAGTCCTGGATATAGAAGAATACCTCTAGCATGACCTTTCCTTTAGAGTAATCTTGGCAGAATTTCTGCTTCCGTGAAGATTGTAGTGATTTTCACCTTGCCAATGCTTTCTTGGTTTGTGGGTCATACAAAAAACACCATTTCTCGTCTCCAGTAACAATTGCCAAGTAGGGAAGGATCTTTGTCAACAGCCAAGATTAAGTCTCCCACCATTTCCATTCGAATTCCCTTTTGGTCTACATTTAACATGCGGTGAACGATGTGTTGACACACCCTATGCATGTTAAGATCCTTAGTCAGTATCCGCTGACATGCGGCTTCTGATATCCAAACTGATTTTGCTAATTGGCAAATTGTTTGCTGCCTGTTTTCACGTACTGCCGCAGACACCTTTTTGATGTTTTCATCAGTGCATGAAGTCATGGGACAGCCACAATGTTCGTCAACTTCGGAACTTTCCTTACTTTCTCTGAAACGATGATGCCATTCAAAAGCTTGCATTCTCTATAATGCTTCACTTCCGTACACATGCTTCAACATTCCAAAAGTCTCCGTAGCACTCTTTCCGAAGCGAACACAAAATTTGATATCGATTCTCTGCTCAATTGACGCTATTCCTTTCTATCGCCAGTTACTAAATGCACTTGTCTATAAAAAATGCTGTTGCCGCGAGCTTTCAACCACGTGATTTGGGAGAAACCACTTTTAGAAAAGGGGAAGAACATAGCAACACCATTTCATTCTCGTAGTTGCACTACTGCAAAAAATTTTATAGACTCAGTCCAGGAACTTTTGAATCCTACAACATATTTTCAATATTTTATGCTATTAACATTTTTGTAGCAATTCAAGGTCTGTATCAAGCAAGGATTTAAGACTGGTGAGGCTCTAAGCTAACAAAGTTTTAGGCCACTCCCAAAATCAAACTTGCTATCAATGCAAATAAAGTTCTACCATTCTAATAAAGGTAGATTGACTGTTTTCCCAGTATCAATACACTTTTGTTAAGAAAATATTTTGTCTTTCATACTTTCAAAGAAACATTACATTTTTTTTTATATATTTTCCTATATCATAATTAAATAAGTCCATAACAAAAGTTTATAAAAATAATAAATCACTCACTCAATACAAGATTTTTTACAACATAAAATGTTCATTACATACATATAGTTATAATGATACTACACTGCAATGCCTAAACATATATAGGCAATACAAAAGGCCTAGATATGCTTAAAGAAACTATGAACAAATAATCCCTTCAAGTTCAGAGGCCTAATGTTCTTGGTTTCATACAGGAAAAAGGATGCAAAAATATTCAATTATTTTTAAATAATAGCAAACATGAAGGGCAAAAAATGAAGTGAATGATGCACAATGGTTCTTCACAGTTAGACTTTGCTTAATCCTATAGTTGATATACTATATCTGTGAAATATTTTTCTCTGCTTATATGAATGCAGGAGAGTAACCAGGCTAACTGAAGGTTTAATTAATAAGTATCAAGCATCACATTATAACAAGAGCAAAGTGAATTTTCTCCCCACTTGTAGGAGAAATTTTAAAAAGAGGTGATGAATATCAGATTTGAACAATATCAAAATCAAAATGACATAAACCCAGAATTTTTTGGAAGGAGAATGCAACAAAAAATAAATAGCTGGATACCTTAGCCAAATTTAAATTCTGTCTACCAATGTTAAATTTCTTTCACAAAATAATTCACCAACATTTTGACTGCCAATTTGTTTAACAGTCTTGTCACACATAAATAATACAACAAACTTTGAAATTTATCCAATATCCAGACCACCAGCAGTATTCAGTGTGAAATATTCAGTGTGACAGTCATCAATTATGAGAATAGCTGTCAAGTGTGGCATGAGATTCTATACAGGGTCTGTAAGGGTTGAGCTGTAATTCCTGTCACGTGACAGTGGAGACATTCTTTCAATATGTTAAATACTTGAATCGTACAGAAACAATTGACGCAACGGCTCTCACAATGAAACTATTAAGCGATGCAACAAGGAAAACAAGTGAAATAGACACAAGGGGGCATGAGCTACTCAGAATGCATAAATGATGCTGGTCACAGGTGAACAGTATAAGTCAGCACCCATCCCTTTGACCGTCATCATTGAGAGTGTGGACAACAAAATGGAAGGTGATTATCACACCGAGCATTGGACAGCGTGGTTCCTACGGAAGGAAGGGATACAGGTTAGCGA